AGACTGTGGTGTATGAAATGTGAGAACCTGCTTGTGATTTGAGCCTTGAGTAACTCTTGCAAAGAAAATGCTGTAACCTAGCAGTGCTGCTGGGGGGATGGGGTTTGGAGAGCTGGGAACAAGATACCCTGAATCACTGAGGACCGTTTCTCAGAAATAGCACTGGTCCACACACTCCTCTCCTGACAGGAGAAAAACCTTATGGCAACCTACAGTAATTTGCTTGGATTTCCTGTTTTCAGACTCCTTTTATGAACTCAGGATGTCATTAGGTACAGTTTAAAAATTATAAACAAAAACAAACCTATGACGTCTTTGGAAGGCACATGGGATTAGAGGGGTTTTGTACTTAATACAGTAATCCTCTTTTGGAAATTTATCTTAGAGCCTTAACAGTAAGTTAACGTTTGTTTCTTTGTTAAGAGTAAGATGATGTGCAATTTGTTTCTTGGCAATGTTAGTGCTGGCTAATTCATCAGCTAGGGTAGGTAATGCTCATGTCCTGTGTCTATACAAAACAAACCCAAAAAGCCAGGGGTAGAGCCAGCCCCAGAACATCTGTGTATGCTCCAGAGACTGGCCAGTTTTACAAAACTTTTGTCCTTCCTCTTCCACTCATATATCCTTGGGTTTTTTCCTGTGGTTTTCCAAACATTTTCATCACATCTTACCCAAGCAGGAAGCTCCTGCTTTGTAATTCTGCAACCTGCAATAGGCTTCGTGTGTCCAGCCACATCAGCGTGGTTCCCGTTTCAAAGGCACAAATGAAAAACAACTCTTCCCTCTTTCCTACAGCTCCAAACCAAGTTCCCTCTCATGTGACTCTGTAGTTTGGACTTGTGTTTCAAGGGGCAATGCTGTTGCTATCTCTTTGCCCTCCTGGGAAGGGAATGGGCAGCTCCCTCTCTCCCAGTCATCAGGGAGACTTTGCAGGGCTGTGTCCCTTGAGAGCTTGGAACACTGGGGCCCATTCTGCCTAACTTGTGAGAGCAAAGCTTCACATGAGCAGCCAGAAGGTTAGAAGCCCATGTAGCAGAAGCAAATTAATCGTCCTGCAGCTGCCGGGCACAACAGGTCTTCCTCTCATTTCTAACCTGAGGCAGGGGGTGGCTGAGTCGTGTCTGTGAGTTCATCAGGCAAGGTGGCATCAGGACCAGGTGCCGGGGAGCCCAGTTGTGCTATTTCATTACTGAGTTATGCTGTGTTCATAAAGGCTCCTGAGTTTTATAGTATGAGGGGAAAAGGGAACACAAATTAATTAGTAAGCTTTTCAAATTATTCTCGATTCTAAGCGGGAGTAGCTTCCCGAAATGGTCTTGGAGTAACTGCACTGTTTAATCTCGGCAGTATTTTTCCTTCAGATTTAGGTCCTGAAATCATTAATTTAAGTGCAGAGGATCATAAAATCTCTCTCCTCTGCTCAGCATTCTGTATCTTATGTTCATTTCAGAGGTTTTTATAGAACTTTATTTTTTATGGATCTTTCCACCTTAAGCAGAGCATTGTAAGGAATTTATTTAAACAGCTTGTAGCTGTATATTTATATATGCATATATTTATGTATAGGTGTGTATATATGCATGTGTGTGTAATATTTTGGCATATTATTACCTCAATAACATGGTTCAACAAACAGCATTATTACAATAACAAAACAGGAGTCTGTACTCTCATAGGCTTCTTTAGAGGCAAAAAGGTATGATGCTCCTAAACCAACCAAATGGAACTAGCTAGTTGTTGAAATACTGGCTGCTCTGTGCAGTTTTAAATATCTTAAAAAAGTTCTTCCAGAATTTTCTCAAGTATTTGCTTTCTTGGGCTTTTGATTACATTAAGTGCAGGTATTTCATTGAAATGAAAGGCTGAGAGAGTTGGGCTTGTTTCAGCCTGGAGAAGAGAAGGCTCCGGGGAGACCTTATAGCACCTTCCAGTGCCTGAGGGGGCTACAAGGAAGCTGGGGGGGACTTTTTACAAGGGCCTGTAGTGACAGGACAAGGGACAACAAGTTTTTGAAATTTTGAAATTGAAAAAGGGGAGATTTAGATTGGACATAGGAAAAATTTCTTCCCGGAGAGGGTGGTGAGGCACTGGGACAGGCTGCCCAGAGAAGCTGTGGATGCCCCATCCCTGGGAATGTTCAAGGCCAGGCTGGATGAGGCTTGGAGCAACCTGGTCTAGTGGAAGGTGTCCCTGCCCATGGCAGGGGGGTTGGAACTAGATGGTCTGTAAGGTCCCTTCCAACCCAAACCATTCTAGGGTTCCATGAAATCAGTTCATGCAGTGGAAAGGCTCTTCTGGCTGGGCCAGCCTCCACAGCACTGCAGCCACAGAAACAGCACGAAGCCAGACACAGAGCTGGCAGCAGCATTTGTCCCTGGGCACCCGGAGGTCAGCAGCAGTGTTTGCTCTTTCATCACTGGGCATGGGAGTGGCTTTAGGCCTTTCTCTTCAATTGTTCTGCCAGTGTGTTTCCTGTTGGACCTAGTGTTATTAAACAGGAAGGTAGGCTCCACTACACCCCCTCAGTATCAGCCTCAGCTGTGACTGCCAAGAGAGGTTTTTGGGGAAGTCTGTTTGTAGGGCCTACAGCATTTCTCCATGTGCCTATGTCTCTGTTTACAGTGTAGGATGCTGGATAAATTGAGTGCACAGGGAAACCTCAAAGTGATCTGAATGGGAGAGTGGTCTTGGACCTGCTGTGGCCTTTTTGCGTGATGAAAAGGGCTTGCTCACAACTGTGGAAAGCCCTTGGCTGAAACAGGGAGTGAGACTCATTAATGGACTGGATTGCAGCAAGGAAATCTTTGTTTCCATCCTGAAAGGTGTTCGTCCATCCCTAGTGAGGCCATGTTTGCCCAAACCCAACACTCCCTCCTCCCATCCTCAGTTCAGGGCATGTTCTTCTCCCACAGAGCCCATTTCCAGCTTTCTGCAGCCTCCACACAGGCTTTACCTTGCCCTTTCCGAGGTAGGGCATGGCCTTCTTGCCAGGGCTACCGTCGGCTGTCCGCCTGCCCCGCGGGTTGGCGTCTGGCCTCGCACCGTGCTGACAGAGACACATGGCAGCACAAGGGTGCCGGGCAAACAGAATGATGCCGTGTAAAGGCTTTCCATCACACAGTGATTTTGTTTTGGGTTTTTTTTAAGAAGTTTTGTGACAGCTCGTCTTACTTTACAAATGTGGGCATCCAACTTGATCATTTGGGTCTGTTTTACTATGGTTTGTACATCAATTAGTACCTGTTCAGTTGTCAGCGGCAGTGGGGGGAGAAGGGCTGTCGGGTTAGTCCCTTCTAGGAGTGTACAAGCCACTATGGAGTTCCCTTCGCTGGCCAAGCCTATGGCTGGGCTCCTGGTTTTAGCCCTTATGTGTTGATTCCTGTGCTAAATAAAATAATGCCCTTACTATTGGTAGAGCTGGGGACATAGTAGTCACTAATATTGTATGCTGCTCTTTCCTTCTCTGAATTCAAAGGAAGGGAAATCCTTACTGTGCTGACCTGTCTCCATCTGGGACAACAATTGGCAAACTCTGTGTTATGGGTACATTCAGAAGCTTTACAACTGGATCAGATAACTACAAAATCATACTTCTTTTTTAGGTATTCCCTGTGCAAAGTACAGGGGAATAGTACTGCAGGCATTGTGAAAGCATTGTCTGAGTGAAAAATGTGGTATTTTAATGCACAAACATGTGCCTGCTACCATCAGATGGATTTTCCCAGTTGTGTAAAAGAATATGTTAATGTAAACATGAACTGGAAATTGCCTTTTTTGATCAACGGGCTGCTAGTGAGTTGTTAATTACCTGGAATTGAGTGGAAGTGGTTCAAATGGGCAGTTGAGTGAAATGATGGAATGATTTTCTGTAATCTTGCGCACTTTGTCTGTTAGGAAAGTGTGATACATGCATTCAGCTGGGCAGAGGAACAGGAAAATTGCAGTTTGGAGCTGAAAAGAAAAAATGTAGTAGTGACTTGCCTGGTTCTCTTGCTGGGTACCCTTAAAGACATGGCTAGGAATGCCTAGGATGTTTTAATTCGTATTTATCTCAGATTTTTATTTCTTTAATGTGAAGTTTCAGTAACTTTGTAGTTTAACCCTGTAGAGACGTAGTCTCCCTTTGCTGTCATCTAGTTTTCCTGTACTTATTTCCCACTCAGTTTGGTACCCAGCACTTTTGTAGTTATAAGCTAACGCTGCAGTTTCCCTCCTGCTTGGGTGGGGGTCGCTCCTGTTTCTGCAGTACTGCTGTTCTTATTCCACGCTGGGGCTAAGACCCCAGAGATGAGACAGTGAGCCTGTGTACTGACTCCAAAAGCCAGCTTGCTTGTTCTGAATCAGACTGTACTGTCACTGGCAATGACTTTGTTTGGATATGCTTAATTGCAACCTGCATTTCACAGGGACACGTACGTTTCTGATGGAATGACTAAAAGCTTCTAGCATTAGTCAGTCTGATCTGTAAATCCTTTCACCGATGTTCAGCCTACCTTTTCCCCAGCAACAGAAAACGGAATTCCAAAGATGGCAGTTTTAACACACACATTAGTTTCAGGTGGGCCCCTCTCTTTGTTTCTCCCCATCTCTCTCCACAGCGTTGCATCCAGCAGCGTTTCCTCTCCAGAGGTAGAAAAGGACTGGATGCAGTTCATTCTGGTGGCTGACGATATTTGGCGATGTACTTTGTTGACAGCTGGGTGCTAGAACATGCCTGTTGACCCTCCCCTTTCTTTGCAGTTGTCAGTGCCCTCCAAGGCAAGGGCAGCAGATTTCAGGGCCTGAGCAAAACTTAGAGCCACTGTCCTGCCAGGCTGGCTGGAGATGGTGGGAGCGCGAGGGGAAAAGCCCACTGGCAAGCCACGCACGTTAGGTGTAGCCAAGTGGCGACTCGGTGAGCGGGAGGCTGCGTGGGTGGACTGTGACAGAAGAAAACATCCTTATCCACGGTTTGTCACTCGTGCTAACCATTGTCTCTCTTGTTCTTTTGTCTTCCCCAGGAACGAGTGGAATATCTCTTTCTCATAATTTTTACAGTGGAAGCATTTTTAAAAGTAATAGCATATGGACTTCTCTTTCACCCCAACGCTTACCTCCGCAATGGCTGGAATTTACTAGATTTTATAATTGTGGTAGTAGGGTGAGTACCAATATATTATCCGATCACACTACCTACACGGGGACACTGGGAAACTTTCGGAGCATGAGGGTGGGTGAATGGTTGCTTCTGGGTGATGTTAGAGGTTGCTGTCCACCATGTTTCTCCTGCCACCATCATTTGTCCTTCCTGTGTTAGCCCCACTACAGATTCCATGTGTTTCAGCAAGAATTAGTGTATAATCTAAAAATACAGTTAACTCACTGGTCTTCTGCAGGTATACCTTGATTCATGCTTGATTCATTCAGTGTGTAACAGTGATTTACCTTGAGGTAAATATTAAGGATTGATAATCAACTGATGCACATTTTCAGTCTGGTATCCTTTACTACTTAACCTTTTCCAAGGCTTTCAATGTTTTGCAAGACATGCAAATTTACCTGCTCTTTGGGAACAGGGATAAAAGGTGGAAGCAGCGCAAAGCTATTGGGCAAAGTCAAATGCCTGAATATGTTTTAATTGGAAGAAAATCCCTTTGTTTGTAAATCTGTATGAACATTATAAAAGAATATCTAGGTGAAAGCCTTTAATTTAGATTAGAGTTGGATGAGAAATAAATTCTGCCATCTTGTGAAGTTTTACTGATTTTTTTTTCTCATACCGAAAAATGGATGAAAAATTTAAGTCCCAGGTGTTCATATTTGCAAACAAAAATAAGTTCTTCAGTTCAATTGCACTCTTCTGCTGGTGATTTCAATAGTTGCAATTTTGACTCTTTTAATGTTTTAACCTTTTTAAAGACTGTTTTTACTATTGTAGATCAAATTGCCACCTTGAGGTGCAACATCTCCAATCCTGTTATTCCTCTCTGTATTTTTCAAGCTTGGCATTTAATTTATTCAAATAAAAGCAAAATAAAACACCTTCTGCTTTTTCTACCTAAGGGTAAGAGAGAAGCAAGGGTTTTGAACTGCGGTTGTTGAAGGGAAGAGGTGAAGGATAAACTACCACTGGAGACAGAGAGAACAAGCATTTCTTTGCCTGAGTAATCCATCCCATCCTCCCACCACTCCATTGTTAAAGAGTTTCATCGCCCACAAAAACTTGCCATCTTTTCACCTCTTTTCCAAGGAAACCCTGCGTCAGCTCCCAGGGAAAACGTCAAAAGGGACTCTCCGTCATCAACCCACTCCTAATTTCTGCCCCAAAGCAAAGTCCGTCTAGCTTCTTGATCCTTGTTGTGGGGCCCCACATAATGACATCAGCATACTGCTGTGTGCTACCCAGTTCTCCCACTTTCCATCATCATGAGGAAAACTGGGAAGAAGTAGAATTCCCAGTGGGGCAGGGAGGGAGGACAAGCTGAAACCTATTCTTAGTCTGAAAGCCTCTTTGACTCCACGTGGGCATAACGCTTCTCCTTACAGCAATGCCCAACTGTCTTTCTCCTTCATTCCTACCCACAGGCAGAGGATCCCACAGTAAATTATTAATTGGAAATTGGCAAATCCCCAGCCCCTCCCCTGGCATTGATGTCCAGTTCTGTAGCTGGTTCTGCCTTTGAATGCCCTCAGTTATCCCACCTGCTTAGGCATTGCTGCTTAAGTTGAAGAAAAATTGGAGGACAGAAGTCTGGTGAATGTAATTATTCCTTTTTAATTTTTATGAGAAAAGAGACTTTTTAAAGAGAGGACACATTGCCTCTTCTTCTTCCATTGGAATGCGAAAGAGCAGGGCTCCAGAAACCACAGGGCAGCATTCTATCTAGTTTAAGTGCAGTCCTTTTCAATTCTCCTACTAGGCCAGTTAATCAGCAGGATGATATTCAGACTGAAATGAATTCCCTTGCCATTGACAGAAGCTGCAGCTCTCAGCTCTTCAATCTGCTCTTGCCTCCAGCAGCCCTCAGCCACTAGATGGGGAACAAAAAATGTTAACTGGGGAGGGATTACATGAGTATAACAAACATGGCCAAGACCCCAAGGTCTCTGTTAGAGTAACACTCTCAAGTGACAGATTCCACTTCAAGGCCAGATGGGTTCCTTTGATGTTTGTGTTCAAGCTCTCTCGTACGGTACCACAGCCTAGGCTGGTGCACTGCTTTTTCTCTCCACAACCCCTCTGCAAAAATCTACGTGATGATACCATCTGTTCCTGTTCTGCCCTGTCTTCTTTTCCTCGGGGCTGCCTCAAACATCGCCACGATGATGTTATGTTTAAATTTCAATGTATTTGAATATGTTTTTAGGGTGAAAGTCCCATGGAAAAGGTTTAAAATACATTTTAAAGAGAGGAAGTGCTGGTAACAACATTTCCTTGTGGTGCCTTTTTCTGCCTATTGATGGAGCTGTTGGAGAAAGCAGAGTAATATGGGAACTGGGAAGCACAGGGAAGAGGTATATATTTGGAATATGGGGCAAAGGATGGTGTGGGACTCATACTGGAAGCATAGAGTCCCAAAACAGCTGTGGTAATTGCCATTCCAGCTTGTTCTGCCTTAGGAATCATCTTCGTTTCCAACAGTGATTGTTTTTGCTACAAAAAATAGGAAGGCTAGGTGAGAAGTACTTTTGCAAGTACTATTGGAAGTTAAAGGGGGGAGGGAAGACAGGTTTTTAGATCCTTTCTTTGCCTCTAAATCCACCTGGAATACATTTACATCTTACCACATACATCTTGAAGAGATAATGCAGCACAACTGGCTCCCTTGATGTTAAAACATACAGGTCAGTAGAGGAAGGGGGAAGGGGACATGAGTAGGAGCAAGCATAAATTCTAGAGAGAAGTCTTAGGCTTTATTCATTTTTTTTTTTTATAAAACGGTGCCTGTATACTTTGCCGTGCCTCCTGAGGATAGGTCCCCTGGTATGCAAAAGGACCTTGGAGTCAGTGGTTGTAACAAGGCCACTCAAATACGCAGCAGAGGGGAGCAGTGAACACACGACCGCTGCGTTTTCTGGAGAAGGGATGCACTTTAGACCTGTAAGCTTGTAACAGCTTATCGTTCTTGCACCGTGGGAGATCTGCTTATTCATCAACTAAGTCTTTTAAAGCTTGATTCTAGTTTATCTTTAAATAGCCTATGACCTTGCTATGGCATCCACCGTTAAATGCTGCTTTGAAGAAAAATGTCTGTGTGTGGGTATCAATCAGAGGCTCTGTGAATAAGAACATTAGTAGTTAAGAGTAGAGATCACACCCCTAAGCTGCTAATGAGGCAAAACCCACAAACAGTAACGATTAGTCAAAATGTTTTCTGCTTCCTTCAGTTCTACTATTCCTCTTTTGGAAAACATTAGAACTTTCAGATATAACTGATGTCCTTTAATATTAGGCTGCTGGAGGAAATTTCTCTTGAAAGAAGACTAACTTGACAATGTTGTGCTAGAAGAATATCTGTCTTTCCTGGCAATTCTGTGGTTTGTCTGCCAAGCACAGTCATTCTCCAGGGACCCATAGCTTCTGCCAGAAAAAAAGGTGTCATAATTTGAAAGGCAGTCTTAACTTGAGATGGTAAGCAGTGGAGGTATTTGGAAAGGATCTGAGATTCAGAGCGAACTGGAAGATGTGGTCACAGTATATGTCTTCCTGAAGACCTGTGGAGAGTTTCTAAAGGGCAGACCCAAACACTTTCACACTCGCAAATCACAGGTGAACTGTAAAACATTGTGAAAAAAAAATCATTATACTTTACTATTTCTTTATGCCTAGGAGGATTCGTTCAGCTGTGTTGTTCTAATGATTTTTGCCCTTAGAAACACCAAGCCCTTTGCTTTTCTCTTTATATTCTGGAGACCCTTGACAAGTTCTTTTTTATGCTATAAAAATCAGTTTGCCCTCCCCACAGAAGAAGAGATGAAGAGCTGTAGAGCAGGTTACAGCCTTATCATGCTGCTGTTTGGGTCATCTAGCAAAGCAAAATCCTGTTTGATATTTCGGATATCAAAAGGGAGACAGAAAAATATGAGAAGGAAAACAGTGAGGCTAGCCTCATACCTCACAAGTAAATGTGAAAAGAAGTGGAGTGTGTCCCTACACATGTGTGTGATAGAAATTTATTTTCTGCTTTATAGTTCATGCATGTCAAATTAATTCAGTTTAGGTGTAGTCATGTCAGAAGGGAAATTCAGAAATCAAAATGCTGTTAATTGTGCTTCATCAGTGGAAAGAACCGTATCCAAATGAAAATAGAGCATGAATTTAGCCTGGTGGAAAGTAGTTAGCTGGAAGAAAATAAGCTCGATTTCTGTATTCTTTTGGGTAAGATTTTCAGTGGCCACAAGAGATTAGCCCTCTGGTGTTTTTCTACCATCCAAACTTTGGTTTCTCTGCCAGCACAGTGTTGTCTTACACCATGGTTGGAGTGTGTGTTCCAGCACACCTACAGTGTCACCTACAGTGGCGGAAAGAACCGCACCTCGCTTCACCACATCTACTGTGAGCTTTTCCCAGAGGTTTTCATCAGCGAGCAGATTTTCCCATGGGAACAGAGTGTAGAAGGACTCTGGCCGCCTCTTTCATATCGGTAGCTTAACATCTACCCATGTCTTTTAGGGTTGGAAAACAATTAGCTGAAAAACTAGGAGGAGTCTATAGAGCTCATAGAAACTGCAAATTGTGTATGGGTTGTGGGTTTGTTTTCTTAATTGGAGGCTATTTGGAGGGGCCATCAGAAGCCTTACCCGTCTTCTGTGTCTTAGCGTTGGTGCTATTTCTGAACAAGAACATATTTTTTTTCCCCCTCCTCTCTGGATCATAGCAAGTTACAGCCAAAAAAGCACATGGTAGTTGTAGCTACAGAGTCACAGGTGTCTGCCCGTGCCCTGACTCGGGAGGCGATAGGGACAGTGAAGTGGGATTGGCAAGATGTACTCTAAATTTGGAGAAGGAAGTAGAGATTCCATAGGCCAGATTGGGCACAGTCTAGACCCCAATACAAAGGGGAGAGAGAGTGAAAGAAATGAGAGAAACAAAAAGTTGTATTGCATTAGTAAAAAGCAAGATTAGTACAGAGGGAGCTATTAAGCATGGAGTAAATGTGTTAAAGCAGGATTAGCAGGAGTAATGCAGTTCACGTTTAAATGTAGGTTTTCAAATGAGGAGCAGCAGGAACTACGGTAAATTATTCCTGACATACAGTAGGCAGATGACTGTGGGTACCTCAAGACAGCACGTTTAGCACGTCAGCACTGGCGCACATGGAGAGGGGCAACGGGCCTGCAGTGGGGCGGCCTTAGTCTGGGAAAGCAGGTTGGAGCTCCAGTGGAGTGAGCTGTCACACTGGTTGTGTTTCTGCTCCCCCTGAACTAATTTAGGGCATGGCCTTTCTTAGGATGCAGAATCATAGAGCAGCCCATGGTTTGCTCACTGCACATGTGGCAGGAGAAACGCCCTTGGTGCCAGCTGCCAAGAGCTGCTGTTTGGTAAAACATGGGGTCCATGATAATGGGGACCAGAACGGACCCTCAGTTGTGCATGATTGCTGACTCAGAATTCCTTGAGATTTCTTGTCTTCAGTGTTGCAATAGAGCTGAAAAACAGCGTAAGAAACCTTTTGCAGTGAAGTATTTTTCCTCTGAAGGATCCCAGGAGACTAGGACTGTTGTATAGGTATGTCACTCATCATCTAGTATGGGAATTCTGTTGACTAGGAAGATAGAAATGTATGAATTAGAAATAATAGAGCACATTTCTAGAGCTTAATCACTAACTTACTGGAAATATATTAGGCCAAATTTGACCTGCAGTGTTTCTATTATGAAGACCAGCAGAAAATTGCAACTGTAAAATTTGTGTACACAGCTCAAGAAATACATACGTTCCAATAATTCATGTTCTTTGCATCAGCCCTTGTTTATCTCTCTCTGTGGTATCTGTAGTCAATGCAGTGTTTCTCACAGGCTCTGTTTTTGTCTTCTCTGCATCCTGCTTCTCAGTCTGCAACACCTACAAACTCAGCATCCAACCTCCCCACACACAATTTTTCCCACGCTTGTTACCTAGTTGTTAAATTTTTCTGCAGTGCTTGAAGTTGAGGCTTTGAATAGATCCAGTTAGGAGTTCCTCAGTCACAGATGACAGGTTTTATAAGACTCTTTATATGAAATTAAAAATAAAAACCCCAAACCTGGTTAAGCATCTAATTTTGCATTTACATTCCCTTATCCATGTTTTTGTGTGGATTTAGTGCTGGGGAGATGTGTTAGCTTAGATGCTTCAGTAAATGGATCCTCCTTTTTCTATCCAGAGCAAGCTCCCTCTGTTTATGGCCCTGTCAACAAGTTTAAGCAGGTATTGGAGCTCCTTGTAAAGCGGTCGGGCAGCTCGGTCTCTGCTTGATATGCGTTTTGGGGGCTTCCTGTGGAATACGCCAGCCGGGGCGTATAAATGAGATCCCGACAGAGGCGCTGCAGACCGCCAAGTCTGTGCTGAATCCAGGCCACGCCAACTAGGCTGGCATCACAGGCAGCTTCCTTAGTCACCTCTGCTACCTCCATGGCAAGCGATGGGCCACGGGGTCTCTGCCACTCGCAGGCAAGCTTTTTCTACAGAGCGCCAAACATCCATTTAGGCTGGAACAGCTTTTAACCTCTACTGAATTTGGCTGGGTTCATGCTGATGACTTTGAGACTGAAAGCAATGTCATTAGCAAATTCATGAGGAATCCATCCTCCCCCAAAGGTACTAATGTTTTACCAGAAAAATGGAAGTTGCTTCCTGAAAGCTAATTTATTAAATGAAGTTCTTATTAAGACATAGGATGAGCCTTCAAGTCTTTCACAGAAGAACATTGTCTTTTTTGCCTCTCTGGTCTTTCAAATGCGTTCTGAGACATCATCTCCTTAAAGCAGCTACTCCTACTAGCCAAGATAAAACATTAAGACTGGTATAATAAAACATGCTAATAATAAGACTCCTACAGTTTTGTGCTTTCCCTCGCCAGTGCATCAGGGGATTTACAAATGGATACACAAGCACATAATCGGAGCATACTCTGTTATCTGAATATTTGTACCGTGAAGGATCCCTGAGTTTTACCCAAAGTTCTACCTGCAGTGACCTCCGTGAATCTTAATTCTTTGTAAAATGGGTGACAGATAATTAACAATGGGGTTAATTATGGATGATAATTTTTTTTTTCCCCAAGGTGGGTTGTTGGTTAATAAAGATAGAAAAAGATAGTCGGCAGCAGAAAGGGCAAAAACTAAAATTTGTGCTTTCATGCCTTTCCGCTCGACTCCCATTGGCGTGTGTCTGGACTGACTGGTAAGGGGAGCCTGGAGACTGCCTTCAGAATCTGCCCACATGCTCTGCTGCTGGCGACCCTTTCCTGGCCGTTTTGAAGCAGCGGTGCGCTCCCCGGCGCGCGGGGCTGGGGAGCACACCTCCCCGTGCCCCCAGACAAGGCTGGGCACTGGGGTAGCCCGCAGCAGGGGGCCATTGGGCTGAAGGAGGAGCGTGTCGTGTTTACGTCTGCTCCGGGAACGGGTGCTTTGCAAACGGTACAGACATCACCATTAGCTACTGCATATGGGAAGAGTCTGCCTCTCCTCCACCATATGCCAATGTCGACTGAGATGTGTGACACTCCTCGCAGGTCTGTGAGATAGTCTGGGTGAGATGATGGTGATGATCTCTGTTCCTGTTTAGCCCAAGCCTTGCTGTCTGCCTACAGACTGTTTCCTCTTTCTTTTTGCAGGCTTTTTAGTGCAATTTTAGAACAAGCAACCAAAGCAGATGGGGGGAATTCAATAGGAGGAAAAGGTGCCGGATTCGATGTTAAAGCACTGCGGGCTTTCCGAGTGTTACGTCCGTTACGGCTGGTGTCTGGAGTTCCCAGTAAGTAATGTCGCCGTTTTTCTTCTATGCGTCTCTGTGGTGTGGCGTGGGGCAGGAGGAACTTGTGCAACAATTTTGAAGATGGAGCGTGATGCAGATTAATTCTGATGTGTGGGGGAGGCCTTTTTTCAAATTAACGTAGGCTCATGATAAACAAAAGCTGAGCAAACCGGAGCCGAAGGGAAATGGAAGTTTCACGGTATGTCAGTCTGATTGTGCAACCTTCAGCAGTGGTTTCAAACAATGAAAGTGGGAGATCCAAGATTTTCATTATTTTAAACAAAAGATCCTTTAAATAATCGTGAAGTCACAGTGCATTGTTGGTGTTATAAATACGGGACCTTGGTGGAAATGCTGTATGGTCATTTGTGCTGATTTTGGAAGGAGAGAAGCTTTTTCATTAAAATTGCATTTTTCTTCTTTGCATGTGATGTTGTTCTGATCAAGAGCACTGGGAACAATTTAGAACCAACAGGACATAGGGCAATGACACGGACATGTTAGTCTTAGTTGCATAAATTATTTGTAATGCCTCTGAGAAAGTCCTCCAGCAGCTTTTGACAGTCTAACATCCATTTTCTTACTTAACGATGAAGGTCTGAGTAACTGGGAGTCTGGTGATTCTGTTGTGGAGGTGGAAGAGGGACATCGCAGCATGGGAGGTTTATATCCATTTGGCTTTGTTATGGATGGGACCTGTTGGCCTTCTGGAGAGAGGATTAGTTGAAAGCTGTCATTGCTTTTCATGTTTGTAGCAATGAGAGATGTAGTTAGCAGGAAAGGAGTTAATCTTCTGCAGAATAGCTGTGGAGAGAGCTTTGTTTATTTTTATCTGGGGAGCTTGCTAGTTTGAGATCTTAAAGTACTTCTAACCTTAGTCATTCACAAACCTTGAGTCAAGTGACCATAAACTCTGTGAAATCAGCTTAAAAATCACAATTTATTTGTTAGGAAAAGAAAGTGTGTGGTTCTTGTTCTTTGGCTTGTTTTCTGACCCACTACCTTATATTAGAGCCTATTACATGTTTGCAGGCTTTTCTCCACAACCATAAAGGGTAGAAACTTTATAAATGAGAGGTGAGAATCTTTGTGTCTGGAGCTGAACCACTGATAAAAGCAAAAAATACTGAGACAATTGACAGCACCACTGTTTGGTCCCACAAAAAGCCTTGCTGGGTAGCCTATCTGCAAGGTCCCAGCTCGTGCCCAACTCGGGGCTACTTTGTGCATCACTGGGGGAGTAGGAAACGTTGGAAAGTTAATGCTGTCTATTAGGCAACTAAGAGTCTTCCTCTCTGATACAGAACTGACATCCACGCTTCATGCCAGCTCTGTTAGGGATTACTGCACTGGGCTGATTCGTGCAGGCAGTCGTGTACGGTGCGATGCCTTCGGTCCGTGCAGAAGGCAGCTCTGCTTTTGGCCAGACTGGCATCGTGAAGCGTGTTCTGCCTGTGGTCTTCAGGCTGCACTGGCACGCACTTCATACTTGGCTGTAAATTAAGGTTTTGTTGTTCTTTCCCAGCCCTTCTCTGATCTGAGTCTGGCACTTTTCTAGCAGTGTTCCCACTGTATGGTAAGGGGAAGGTACTCGAGCTCCAACATCTGTGAACTGGAGCGTTCTTGGTGAGATGCTGCTTACACTGGAACATGTTCTGAGAGTTGTTCTGACGTAGGCTGAGCTTAACTGTGACCATAGTTCTTGCGGTTTTGGAGAACAACATGTGTTCCCCAGGACAAAGGGCTTTTGTTACTACTGTTAAGGCTCTTGACTAGTGCTCTTAGAGGACTAGGGGAAACTGAGGGAGCCAAACCTGACAGAGCTCATACCCATATGCCTATATGATGCTGAACCCAGGTTAGACTATCTAGTAGTCTATTTGTGGGGTTTTTTTCATCAAGAGAAGTATTTAATTTGCACCAGAACACAGCAAGGGAGCCTGGTGCATGCTGACAAGTACTTGGTGTGGACCGTGAAATGCCAGTCCAGTGTGAAGCAGACAAGCCATCAACTTGACCTGACAGACATCCTCTTAGTTTTTATGGTTGTGACTAGGGACACATTTATTGAACCAGGCTTCTTTGGGGCTGGTGTGCCTTTTAGCAAGCCTGATTAGGTTTGTAGCTAATACAGCCTCAATCTTCAGTGTGCTTTTCTGAGTTGTACAAATGCCTGTTGGTTAGCCTAGATAGATGTTGTCACATCCATATGTATTGGAGCGTAACTTTTCTCATGAGGCCTTTTAGGTAAGATTGCCTAAGCCAACCATAAACAGTACATTACAGGATTGCATTATTGCCTGATGAGTTAGTGCAGAGGTTTAGAAGGGAAATCTCCAGGTCTCATTCAAATTCTCTCCCTGAGACATTATGAACACCAGTGGGTGAGTTACCGACATTGCACTTGCTGCAGTTTGCCATCCATTAAAAAAGATGCCTTTTGCTTCCTTCCTCTTCCAAAATGTAGTAGACTTTTCTAGTGTGAGGAGAATGACCCACACAGATTTGTCCTAAAATTACATGAATGTAATATGCACTGCAGTTTCTTCTCACTTAACAGACTCTGAGTGTATGGAAGCAGCATCTCATTAGTAAGAGGGCATCCTCTGGGTCATGGGCAGCCACCTTCTGCATGGAAAGCCCAACATCTGCTGCTTGGCTTAAGGTCTACATCTAACTACCACTATTTGGAAAAGAGAAAAAAAAAAAAAAAAGAAAAAATATGTATAAAGCACAATGGTTCTTATAAACCAAATTTATGAAGCACATGGTGAATTTTTGCAGGCAAATCTTAAACTCCTCAGGATTGGGGTTGGGAAATAGGTTGTCTGAGGTGGACAGATTGGCTTGCAACATGGAATAATTTTTTGAGTCAAAAGGGATTTTTGTGGATTTTTTTTATCCCTGGCTCAATCCACAGGAAATAATACAGTTTAAGAGGGACATCTTTTGTATTCAAGTTTAAGCATTTAAAGATCTGTTACAGAATATTGAGGGTTTCCGCATAAGCGTGATTAGAAGTGGTGGAAAAACATATTAATTGCCCTCTGAAGTAAATTACTAGTGTCTGCATTTTGCAGATGGAGAGACTGAAGCAAAAGTTCAAGGTTTAACCCTTTCAGAAATGGCTTTTCATTCTAGATGTCTTGTATTGGTGACCAGTGCTAGACACCTGGGTCAACACGTGTATCTGAAAGCTTCAGATAGGTGGATAGAAGACGTGAGCCTCCGAACTAAGAATCCTTTTCTCTAAGGCCCATCCATACTTAGTTCCTGGGATTTGGCATTCTCTTGACAGAAAACATCTCAGCTGTGTAGCGAAGGAATCGGGGACTGTTCAGCGCAGGAATTGATTCTTCTGCAAGCAGGGTTGGCTCACCCACAGGCAGACGTGCAAAGGTTCCTGTGGCAGTCTTTGTTAGGATCAAACTATCCCGGCCCCCAAACTGTTTTAGTGCATCCTAAAAGCAAAAAAGGTTTGAGGTCATGAATTCAACAAAACCTGAACACAAGGTCTGGATGACTGTCATGGGCACATAAATATTCCATAATCTTTAAGACAACAGACAATACTTTTATTCTTTGTGGTTATATTGACATCCACAGGACCATTTGTCATAAGGAAGGAGATAGATGTTTAGTTTAAGAATGAGACACACATTTTTTACTCAGATCACAAAACCAATTGTAATATCATGGGAGAAGCCTTCAGAAGCACTGAATTTAATGTCTTTGGGTTCCTATTACAACTTCAAAAACTGGTGCAATTTACAGTTTTCCAAGCAGTGCAATAAGGATTGATTTGGGGGTAAAAAAAAGAAAAAAGAAAGAAAAATGAAAATATGGTAGTTTGAGTTCCTTTTTTGAAAACCTTTTATTGGAGTGAGAAGTAGAGTTTTGTTGTGACTGTGTGAGGTGCCTGGCAGAGCAGTAAGTTAGATACTTCCCACAGTGCTCATCCCAATGCTGACCGTTTCTTTGTGAACAAAATAAAATTTAAAAGGAATAATTAAGCAAACTCTTTCTTTTATTATTTTTAAGGGGTTTTTAAGTCATACTGGTTCTGGAAAAAATACCCACTCCCACTCTGTTTAGCCTGGCATTAACCTGTAAATTAATGGTGAATATTCTCAAAAGCACATGGATGATTTAAGTTTTACAGTGGTAACTCACTGTTGAAAACCAGACATGAGCACTTTAAATCATTGATACACAGGCCAGGCTTCACTGTTCAGCTATTTAGTTACTGTCATACTAACATAATTCTCACAGTGCATACTTTATTTCAATTGCTGAAATACTTTACTGCTGGTGTACCAAAGCAGTCGTCTTGTAAATAAACCCAAAACCAAAGTTCACGTGTGCGTTAGAGCACCCATCTTACCGTGGCATTAAGATCAATATATTGGTTTGAGAAAGGAGAGAGGATGAAAACAATTCCCTGGATGGGCACAAGTAGACAAGTGCAAAATCAGCATGTATACCAAAGCTTAATCACTTGAGTGTCTTGGAAACCAGTATCTCCTTTGGCAGGAGTAAAGCATTGCAAAGCTTTCTAGAGACAGAATCAAGTCAGCCCTTTTGTGGCAGTTTTCTGCTGATTACTCTTATATCTCCATTTTACATTATTAATTATTTTAAAACTTGTTTTAAACATTTTGTGCTTGTGGAGGGCAAAAAGAAGCATCCAGTTTGGCAATGAAAGAAGCATGATCCAATTAAAAAGGAAAATCACTCCTGACTATTGGAAAGGGCAATCAGCTACGCCTACGCACGCTAACTCACGCCCATTTGACTTATTAAATTCCATTTCTATCACCTTTATTCGTGTTGCTCAATTATAGCACCTCATACATTCCGTTCATCCTCTTTATGTTGTACTTTGTCTCCGTGTACCTACGTTGTTGCCACTAGTTATTGCCTGTCTGATATTTGCCAAACTCAGTTTATAAGCTCTTTCAGATAACTTGAATGCCACGTAATTTGAATAAATGTTATGC